GACAGGTAGATGCATGAGGCTGAAACCCAGAAGAGAGGAAGGGGCTCTGGAGCCCACAGGGCATTGGCAGCCTCTGGAAGTGGCCAGGCTACCAGACTGTGTGGATATTGTCTGTTCCTTTCCTGCACCCACCCTGCCTGGTCTTCTGCCAGCCAGACCAGTTGCTTACTGCACACTTAACTGTGTTTCGGCCGTCCCTGGGCTAATTCTTAGTATGAAACACCTGTACATCTGTCCTTTTCATGTTTCAGATCCAGAACATTACTTAAGGCTTACCCCAGATACTTTCCTTCTCCATAAAGGCTGACTCATTCCCCAACTCCAAAATGATCCCTTTCTTCTTTAAAGTCAGAACATATCAAGACCATATGATTTATCTTTTTTTTTTAATTTTTAAGTTCAGAGGTCCATGTGCAGGTTTGTTACATGAGTAGATTTATCTTCATCATTTCGATTTTCCAACCTCATCCTAAACCCTAGAGTATAAGGTCTTGGAAGAAATTGACCATATTTTACCTTTTTATATGCTGCCTTCAAAAATCTCTGTGGAATGGAATTAACTCATTGTCTGGGAACACATGTTCCCTCTTTTTCTTGTTTTCCGAGGGTCTTGCTTCTCAACCCACTTTTTGGTAAATATCAGCTACCACTGCCTTCTCTTGTCCACTGGGCTGCAGTTTCCCTCAAGGCTCCTGGCAAAATGGAATTCGGTCTCCCAGGCTCACCTTTGCTTCTGCCCCTGAGTGTATGTGCCTCCTTACTTTTAAGAGTCTTGACATTAAGTAATGTATAAAAATAAGAGATACCAAGAGCAATAATACAACGAAGTTACAGCTTTCCAGAATCTTATCCCATGCTTAGTCTTAATAATTCTACCCTAGAATTCTTAGCTGAGTTTCAAACAGATCCCAGCTTTTTGTCCTGTGTTTAACCTAAAGATATAGTTCAACACCGTCACATCCTTGCCAGCTTTTAGAAGAAAGCTAAAGACTCAGATGGGTTTGGAGCTGAATGGCATTTGTCTTGTCTCAAGTGGACTCTTTTCATCTAGAGACCTTCCTACTCAAGGGTGACAGTCTGCTCCCACAGGATGCTCTTTACTCACTTACCTTTCATTAAGAGTTGATTTTTGTTCTTTGAATTTTATCGTCCTACATTTTTTTTAAGTGAGCTAACAAAATAGGTCATCACTACCACCTTTATTTATTATTTATTATTTTATTTTATTTTTTGAGTTCTTTCTTCAGGCCAGGCTTTTTGCTTCTTGCTTTATGCATATATTATTCATTTGAATCCATTTAGCAATATGGAAAGCAGGCATTACTATTTGCATTTTATAGATCAAGATATGCTCAGAAACATTGACCCACCTGGCAGAGGCTCTGATACCTCCTTATTGACTGAGGTAGGTTGGGACCCCAATGGATCCTGGTTGCAAAGCTGGTCCCCTTTGCATCGTGCTTTCTCCTCTTTGCCCTTCATTTTTCTGCTGTTCTGTTCTTAACATTATTGATGCTTAGAGACCTGCATGTCACACAATCTGTATTTTCTCAGTTGGGACCAGCCCAAGCATAATAAAAAGTTGCTTCTTGATTTCAAGGTAATTGAAAATTGTAAAAGACACTTTTTATTGAATACAGTAACTTTTAAATTAATAAGATTCGCTTTTAAACACTTACTGAATTATTCTACAGGTAAAAGCAATACCATAGTTTAAAACAATAGAAAAAAAGATATCTCTCATTTGTTTTTGAACTCAACTTTGTTATTATTTTTTAAGTCCATAAAGCATTTTTGCTTTTATTTTCCCTTTCATTTTAGTTCATCTGGTTTTCCTATAAGTCTTTGAACTTGTGTTACACATATACTAACTGACCTAAGCGTCTGGGTACGTCCTTCAAATTTATCCTAACCTCAGAAGCTTTCTGTCTTTTAGATTGTGTCCAAAAAACAGCCCCAACCTCAAGCAGGAGGTATATTGAACTCGAGTACATAGTTGGGTGGATGACTAAAGTTCCCTGAGTCCTACTGGACAGATTTTGGTTGTGTGATGTGTTGGTTTTATGTGAATTAAGCAATGAGACACACACATTACATGTTTGGGTAGGTGTAATTTAAATTTTCAATGTTTATGCAACTAAAAATCGAAATGACAAAATTTTCGGGAAATGGTGATGACATGTCTGCAACAGTCTCTTACAACTCTCCTATCCTAGTTGTGGAAGATAAAATATTGTTCTGGGAAGAAAATCATCCTGCATTGTTACAGTAACAAATTTTTGAAGGGTATTTATTTTTTTAAATCCTTATGGAACAGTCTAGCATTTGAAAGTCTCTGTTTTTGAACACCCAAAGGAGAAAATCTTCCAATGTGTTTATAAGACAGTGGTCATTTTTTTTCCATTTTGTATGCGTACTATCTAAAAAGTCTTAGTTACATTTATTGAAAATTCACAGAAGTGAATCTTAGGCTACAGCAGACCAACCCTTATGCAAAGGATTCATGACCCTGCAACACATTGGAGGTTCCCCATAAGTGCACATTGAATTAAAACAAATTTAACTTACATTTAGTTATTTCTTTGGACTTTAAAGTTTATTCAGTTCAGTGTGTATTATAGATGAAATCTGTATTTTGTATTCAATCACATAATATGCAAAGGGCACATAATGTCAGTTGTCAGTAGAAATGCTGGCTAGTAGAGGGTGCCTCACTCAACATTTTGTTGCTTCACATTTCCAAGGAGTACCTTCAATGTCTTATTAGACCAACAGTAAATTATATTGCAGATTAGTATTTAGAAAACCCTCTGCTGGTCTTGAGGTACAGCAATATTATCAGACTTTCTAAATTCTGCTTCCAACGCAATCTTTTTGGGAAGTCACTTTATCAATTCTAGAATTAGTTTCTTCTGGTGAATAGTAGCAATAATGATCTTACCTTTGTCATAGGGTTTGTTGCATGGGTTAACTAAGATAGAACTCTAACGTGGCATTAAAATTTTATTTTAAAAGTGGAAACCTCTCTAAGCTGCCCTACAGCATCATGAAACGTTATATTTATCAGTTACCATTTTTACCATGGATATTGATTGCCTTCGTGTAATTATGTACACCTACCCATATTCATTAAGAGCCTTCCAATTTTTAGAAAAGGCATTAGATTATTATAATGGTGGGGTTTCATTTCTTCACTTTGATAGGTTTCCCTATTCTGTTACTATTATGTTGTTGTTATTATCATTACCAAGATTTACTATAAAGTTAGAGAATATACTTTAAATTATTTTAATTATATTAAGTGATACACATCATTTTCATTGAGTATTTACTGTAATTTACTTAGTAATTCTTAAGGGAACATGATGGTACACAGAAGGGAGTGCTTTGGAGCCTGTTCACTACTTTGCAGTAATCAGTGGGCTTCTCTCTCTCTCTCCTTTGTCTACATGTTTTCAATAACCCATGACTCCTCAGGCTTCTGTCTCCAGTCTACAGCTTAAAATAACATCCATAAGCTGGTGGCATCTCTAGCCCAGCCCTCTTTCTAACCGCGGACCTGACCCCTCCACTTGGATGCCTGTAAGGCTTCTCTGACTTGCCATGTCCAAGACTGAGTTGGGGTCATTCCCAATAAACCATTGGCTCCTTCTGTCTTCCCCTTTTTAATTAATGACAGCTCCCTTTTTCTACTTGTTTAGCCCAAGAATCTTAAGGCCTCCTTAACTCCCCGTTGCCTCTGGTCTGTCAGCAAATCCTAGCAGCTCTACCACTGCCACTGCTACCACAATAACCCAGCCCACTTTCCTCTTCCCTAGGTTATAATAATTTCCTTGCCCCTGATCTCTTTACTTCTGTCCTCAGTCACTGCAGTCAGTTTCAACACAGCAGTCAGAGTGATGCTATGAAATGTAAATCGCATCAGTTGACTCCTCTGCTCAAAGCCCTCTAGTCTAGTGGCCTCATCTCAGAGTAAAGGCCAAAGTCTTGAACATGACCTCTAAGGACCTATGTGATCTGGCTCACATTAGCTCTTTATCACCGTCTTTTCTTACTCTCTACTCATTTTCTTCTGCTCATTCACCCTGGTGTCCCTGCTGTTCCTAGAACATGCCAAGTAATTAGCCCTCACCTTTATCCCTACCACATTTGCTTTTCCTTCTTTCTGGTGTACATTCTCCCTGACATGCCCACACAGTTAGATTACAGGTTGTATAAGACTGACGGATCTATAGACCTTTATCTAAAAATCACCTTCTCTGTTCACTTCGTTTTTCTCCCTAGTGCTTATTATTAACATCTTGTACATTTTATCTAATCACCTTGTCTATTGTCTGTCTCCCCCAAATCGAATGAAAGTTAAGAGCAGAGGCTTTTTTCTGTCTTGTTCACCCCTAGTAGTGCCTGGTGCCCAGTGGGTATCTGGTAAATATTTTTGAATAAATACTAATAAAGGGAGGCTACAATTTCATATTTTACCAGTAGATGCCACTCTCTAAGCCTGTGCTGTGCCCACATCTGAATTTTTTTAGTTCCAGTTTGTTTTATAGGATGAAATAGTTTAGTATTTCCAGTTTTGTAATTTGAAAGTGAAATTACTGTGAAATCCCAGTGAAGTCACACGTATAAATGGTGGGCAGGCATAGCAGCTTAAACAGCTGCAGAAGGGCTTTTGTTTAGATTGGTGCTGTTGTGATATCTGCAGGAAATGTGCATTATTGCCTGATCCCATGCAGCTATCAAAAAATTCAAACAATGGAGAAACAGGGCTCTGCTCATCTGGGAACCTGTTTGGAAATAAGTGTAATGTTATCATATGTAATCTAAAGTCTCAGCTGCATTAAGCTGACCATCTCCTTCTCTATATTATCCACAAGTCACATTTTTTACTTTTTTGAGGAAGAGCTTTCAAGGCAGGAAAGAAATTTTATATTCTGAGCATACATATTAATATTTTATGGTAGTATACTCTATTTTAACAGTTATTTTTATTTAATCAGGGCAACACAACTATTTATGTGCTGGAAGAAATGATTGCATCATTGATAAGATTCGACGAAAGAATTGTCCTGCTTGCAGACTTCAGAAATGTCTTCAAGCTGGAATGAATTTAGGAGGTAAGTTTTGTATTTTTAGTTTAAATAAAAATTGTTACTAGGTAATGCAACACCACTAAGATCTGTGTACTCTCAAAATTGAAAACAAAGCCAAAATAGAGCAAAAGTTTCTAAAAATCCGATGAGTTCTGTTTTGATGCTAAAACATTTTAGGAGAGAAATATTTATTAGCTGTAGTCAAAAAGAGATATGTTTTATGGCTATAGTCCTGGTGAATTTTTCAAGCCTGAGTTTGCTGTGTTTTAAGAACCAGGCACTTAACAAACTCAAAACAAAAAGTAATTACTTTTATATAAAACCATAGATAATAGTTTGTATTGCCACATCTGTTTAGAAATTAGATCTATATTTGATAACATTACCCATATAGGAGTACATACCTAACTTTAAAGGTAAATGTATTAAAGAATTATATATATGAAAAAGGCTTTGAAGTGTTCCAGAGGCTCACCAAAAGGGGGGAGAGGGTAAAAAAGTAGAACTAAATGCAGAAGTATACAACATCCATGGATGGGAAGACTCAGCATCCTCAAGATATAAATTTTCCCTAAGTTGATTTGTAATTATAGTATAATCCTAAGAAAAATACCAACTGATTATTCTAAGTTCCTAAAGAATAGGCAGGGATATTCTGGAAAAGACAAATGAGAGGAACTAGTTCTACCAGATAGGAAACACATTACAGCTACAATAATTAAGATAGTCTGTGGTATTTGCTTATTGATTGTCAGACAGATTAACAGAAGGTCAAGAAACAGATCCAAATAATAGAAGAATTTTGCACATAATAAAACTGGCATTTCAGATCAGTAGGGGGAAAGAAGATTCTTCAATAGAAAATACTGTGACAATTGGATAACCATCTGTAAAACAAGAAAGTTATATACCAACTCTTAACTCTATACCAAAATAAATGCTGATGCTTCAAAGATGTAAACTTAGAAAAATAGCCACAGAAGGAGTAAAAGAAAACATGAATTTTTGTTAATACTCTCCAAGCAGGGAAGACCTTTCTAAATCCCACTATCCATGGTTTTCATATTGCAGATTCAACCAACCATGAATTGAGAAATTTGATTTAAAATATAAAAATAGGCTGGATGTGGTGGCTCACACCTGTAATTCCAGCACTTTGGGGGGCCAGGGTGGACGAATCACATGGTCAGGAGATCAAGACCATCCTGGCTAACACAGTGAAACCATGTCTCTACTCAAAATACAAAATATCAGCTGGGCATGGTGACACATGCCTGTAGTCCCAGCTACTTGGGAGGCTGAGGCAGGAGAATCACTTGAATCCGAAAGGCAGAGGTTGCAGTGAGCCGAGATTGTGCCACTGCACTCCAGCCTCAGAAACAGAGCAAGACTCCATCTAAAAAAATAAATAAATAAAATACAATGTAAAGTGTATAACATAGTATTCACATTGTATTAGGTATTATAATTCATCTGGAGATGATTTAACATATACATATTGCACATAGATTTTGTGCAATACTGGATTCAGGGGATCATGGCAGACAGGAGGTAGGACTAGATTGCAGCTCCAGGCAAAGCAGCACGTGGAGGCTCGCATTGTGAATTTTAGCTCCAGATCCACTGCAAGCACAAACGAGCAATCCCGAGAGGACCCACAGACTCTCTGAAGGAAGCGGACTGCTCCTGCAGGACCTGAGAGGCACTTCAAATACTGTGAGTGTCCCAACTGCAGAAGTGGGAAAGGGAGACCCTCTTCTCCCAAACACACACCCCCACTGGAGAAGCTGAAGGTCTATTTGCAGGAGAAGTTTCCGACTTTATCTGGAGCAGAGTCAAGTTAGAGAGCCCAGTGAAATACAGGGGTAGAGGAAGCAGCAGAAAGGCCCTGCGGGCTCCCTGGGTCCCTAAGCAGCACATACCACAGGGATCCATCCGGAGGGTGGCCAGAGGCGTGGGAGGAAAAACTCCATGGGGAGAAGGGATTCTCTAACTGAATATTGTAACAATTTGAACAGGGCCAGGAGTCTCCTGGTTAGAACTCAAGGAAGGGTGCAAATCAAGCATGCAGACTTCACAGGCAGGGAAAGAACTAAAGCCCTTTTCTTTCCCAGCTGGGAGGCAGATAGCCTCGGGCAAGTTTTCAAGCCCCTCTTGCTCTCCCCCTGGAAACAGACTCGGGGCTAATGTGGGGGGCTCGGTGGGAGTGAAACTGGCCCTTCAGTTTGCGTGGGAGCTGGGTGAGACCTGTGACTGCCGGCTTTCCCCCACTTCCCTGACAACCTGCATGACTCAGCAGAGGCAACCATAATCCTCCTAGGTGCACAACTGTAGTGACCTGGGAATCTCACCTCCTTACCCCACAGCAGCCTCAGCAAGACCCACCCAAGGAGAGTCTGAGCTCACAGATGCCTAGCCATGCCCCCACCTGATGGTCCTTCCCTATCCACCCTGGTAGCAGGAGACAAAGGACATATAATCTTGGGAGTTCTAGGGCCCCACCCACCAATGGTCCCTCTCCATACTGCTATAGCTGATGCTTTCTGGAAAGCATCACCTCCTGGCAGGAGGCCAACCAGCACAAAAATACAGCATTAAACCACCAAAGCTAAGGATCCTCATGGAGTCCAGTACACCCTTCAACACCTCCACCAGAAAAGGCACTGGTAGCCAAACCTGAGAGACCCATAGACAGTTTGCATCACAGAACTCTATGCAGACAACCCTCAGTACCAGCCCAGAACCAGGTAGACTTGCTGGGTGGCTACACCCAGAAGAGAGGCAACAGTCACTGCAGTTTGGCTCACAGAAAGCCACATCCATAGGAAGAGGGGGAGAGTACTCTATCCAGGGAACACCCTGTGGGACAAAAGAATCTGAACAACAGCCTTCAGCCCTAGACTTTCCCTCTGACAGCCTACCCAAATGAGAAGGAACCAGAAAACCAACCCTGCTAATATGACAAAACAAGGCTCTTCAACACCTCCCAAAAATCACACTAGTTCACGAGCAGTGGATCCAAACCAAGAAGAAATCCCTGATTTACCTGAAAAAGAATTCAGATTAGTTATTAAGCTAATCAGGGAGGCAACAGAGAAAGCCAAAGTCCAATGCATGGAAATCCAAAAAATTATACAAGAAGTGAAGAGAGAGCTATTCATAGAAATAGATAGCTTAAAGAAAAAAGAGTCAGAAAGTCTGGAAACTTTGGACACACATTTAGAAATGTGAAATGCTCTGGAAAGTCTCAGCAATGGAATTAAACAAGTAGAAGAAAACAATTCAGAGCTTGAAGACAAGGTCTTTGAATTAACCCAAGACCACAGACAAAGAAAAAAGAATAACAAAATATGAACAAAGCCTCCAAGAAGTCTGGGATTATGTTAAACAACCAAACCTAAGAGTAATTGGTGTTCCTGAGGAAGAAGATAATTCTTAAGGCCTGAAAAACATATTTGTGGGAATAATTGAGGAAAACTTACCCAGCCTTGCTAGAGACTTAGACAGCCAAATACAGGAAGCACAAAGAACACCCGGGGAATTCATCTCAAAAAGATCTTCACCTAGGCACACGGTCATCAGGTTATCCAAAGTTAAGATAAAGGAAAGAATCTTAAGAGCTGTGAGACAGAAGCACCAGGTAACCTATAAAGGAAAACCTATTAGATTAACAGCAGATTTCTCAGCAGAAACCCTGCAAGCTAGAAGGGATTGGGGACCTATCTTCAGCTTACTCAAACAATTATCAGACAAAAATTTTGTATCCAGTAAAAGCATCATATATGAAGGAAAGATACAGCCATTTTCAGACAAGCAAATGCTGAGAGATTTTGCCATTACCAATCCACCAGTACAAGAACTGCTAAAAGGAGCTCTAAATCTTGAAACAAATCCTGGAAATGCATCAAACAAAACCTCTTGAAAGCATAAATTTCACAGAAGCTATAAAACAAAAATGGAAGTTAAAAAACAAAATCAAAAAACCAAAGTACACAGGCAACAAAGAGCACAATGAAAGTAACAGCAGCTCACATTTCAATACTAACACTGAATGTAAATGGCCTAAATGCTCCACTTAAGAGATACAGAACTGCAAAATGGATAAGAACGCACCAACCATGTGCAGCCTTCAGGAGACTCACCTAACACATGAGGCCTCACATAAACTTAAAGTAAAGGAGTGGAAAAAGACATTTCATGCAAATGGACACCAAAAGTGAACAGTGGTTGCTATTCTTACATCAGATAAAACAAACTTTAAAGCAACAGTAGTTAAAACAGACAAAGAGGAACAGAATATAATGGTAAAAGGCCTTGTTCAACAGGAAAATATCACAATCCTAAACATATCTGCACCTAACACTGGGGCTCCCAAATTTATAAAACAATCACTCATGGGCCTAAGAAATGAGATAGACAGCAACACTGTAATAGTGGGGGACTTCAGTACTCCACTGACAGAACTAGACAGGTCATCAAGACAGAAAGTCAACAAAAAACCTATGGATTTAAACTCTACCCTGGAACAAATGGACTTAACAGATACATGCAGAATGTTTCATCAAACATCCACAAAATATACATTCTATTCAACAGTGCATGGAACTTTCTCCAAGACAGAGCATATGATAGGCCATAGTATGAGCCTCAGTAAATTTAAGAAAATTGAAATTACATTAAGCACTCTCTCAGACCACAGTGTAATAAAGTTGGAAATCAGCTCCAAAAGGAACCCATACAAATACATGGAAATTAAATAACCTCCTCCTGAATGAGCATTGGGTCAAAAACAAAATCAAGATCAAAATTTAAAAATTCTTTAAACTGAATGGCAATAATCACACAACCTATCACAACCTCTGAGATACAGCAAAGGTGGTGCTAAGAGGAACGTTCATGGCCCTAAACACCTACATCAAAAAGTCTCAAAGAGCACAATCTAAGGTTACACCTCAAAGAACTAGAGAAACAAGAACAAACCAAACTCAAACCCAGCAGAAGAAAGGAAATGACCAAGATCAGAG